GTCAGTTCTCACTTTGTATCCCCAAAGAGCATTAATTTGATTCCACCTGCAAGGTTTTTTTTTCCTCTTGATTGGAGCATCACCATCTATCATTCACATGTCTAATTTACAAATCAAAACAAATTTACTCCTTCTGACCTGGCAAGCTGATCGGTTCCAAGGAGGAGGAGATGACATCTCCAGTTTCTGAAAAAGTCAGTTTAGGGACATGTCCAACACGAGTCCAAGCCAATGACAGCTGCACACTACTTGGGAAAGGAAAAGAACACACTTCTGCCTAGATCAACCTTTCGTGCCATTAGCAATGCAAGTGAAAAGCATGTCTTTGCTTCCACTGAATTTTTACAGCTTCTAATCAACTCAATTTAACCTGTAATGACTGGGAAATGGGTTTCTGAAACTCTCACTGCTATTTTTCACATGAAACATGTAACAGAAGTGAACCTACATTCTGAACCCAGGAGCAATTATCACATTCTGTTTTATCATTTCATCCATTTCCACATCTGGTTTGTGTTTCATGAGATTCTGAACTCCTATGGACAAAGACTCTGACTGGAAATAGGAGTGGGGGAGAGATTTACTTACAGTAACTTGGTGACTGATTCCATTTGGGGAGGTTAGAGGGGAAATAGTCCAAAATCAGCTGAGGTTTTAAGACTGGGTGACTAGACTGACAATGCCATCAACAGAAACAGGGATGTTAGAAGAGGAACTGGTTTTAGTGGGGAAATGATGACTGTGATGTGAGGCATGCTGAGTAAGAACTAAGGAGACCCCCCCAAGAGGAACATCTGAGAGTCAGCTAGTATGCTAAGGGCCAAGGGCTTGGGATATGGAACCTTTCAACAAGTGTACTTTGGTGTCTTGAATTTAAAGGTAAGGGATGAAGCTGTCATAAGGGACCAGACCACATGGGTACCTTCAATTACTAAACTGGTTAAAAACCAGACTGTAGCCTGGCCTGGTGGCATAAGCCTGTAATCTCAGCTACTTGGGCGTCTGAGGCAAGAGGATCTCAATTTCAAAGCCTGCCTGGGCTACAGAGTAAGTTCAAGGCTAGCTTGGGCAACTTTGAGAGATCCTGCCTCAATTAAAAAAAAAAAAAAAAAAAGGAAATAGAGAGTCAGGAATATGGCTCAGTGGCAGAGTGCTGGCTTTGTGCAGGGCCCTAGATACAGAAAAACAAAAAACAAAAACAACTAGATTGGTTCTGTTACTTGGGCAGCACCTGCTGCATCAGAAAGGTCAAGTCAGCTTTTTGCTTTTTATTTTATTTCTTTTTTGGAAGTAACAGGATACAACTTCACTCAAAACCCCACAAAATTAATGCTCTCTCTTTCCTACCACTTACCTATCAATTATTCTCTAAATCTTTCTTTCTTTTACGACCTGTAGTTTTATCTCTTGTGTGTGTGCGTGCATGCATGTGTGTGTGTGTGTGTGTGTGTGTGTGTGTGTGTGTGTGTGTGTGTATACACGTTTGAATGTGGCAGGTAAACAAAGGTCAACATACAGGTGTCTCCTAAATCATTTTCTACCTTATTGTTTGAGGCAGGGTCTCTCATGGAGCTTGCCAATTGCCTAGACGGGCTGGTCAGCAAGTCGCAGGGATCCTCCCATCTCTGCCTCCCCAAATCTGGAATTAGAGGTCTGTAGCTGCACCTATTTTTTTTAGTGTGGGTGCTAGAGATCAGAACTCCAGGTCTATTATCTATTGGGTGGTAGAGATCAGGTCTACTATCCATTGATAGACAAAAATATCAATTATCGGGTGTTCCCTGTCCAGGCATCTTGCTTTGTGACACAATGACAATGACATGAGAACAGTAGTTCACATAACCTTTAAAAACAAACAGAAGGTCCTTTAAGTTGTTTCTAGCTCACAAATGAGGTGCTTTAAACTAAAAGTTGGCATTTGCTTTTCAGTTACTAATTGAAAACATTCAAGAACCAAAAATGGCCTTTAGAAGATTGACAAGTCACTCCTAGTGGTCAATCCCACAGATGACCACCACAAATTTCCACTAGAAATAAGCCTCTCCTCATCTCATACCACTAGGCATCAGCTCAACAGCAATGCCTAACACCATTCTGTCCTACTCATAAGAGCCAAAAGTTCGAATCCTGTTTAGCAAACTGATAACACTGGAAATTGTTTTTGACACAAGTACACTGTACTCACCATTGACTGGTCTGCGATTACTGTTAGGGACCCAGTACTATTCTGTGTTACTATATTTAGTACTAGTTTAAAAACACACAAACTGGAGTTAGAGGTGCTCAGTGGTGGGGCACTTGTCTGCCTACTAAGTGGAAGATCTGAGGTTCAATCTCCACTTAAAAGAGGTCAGTGTCAAAACCAAACACTCAGAAACTAAAATAAAGATTAACTAAGCTCCTAGTGTGCATTCCTAAATTCATCATTCCTATTTGGTCAGATTTTTTTAAAAATATATCCTTAAAATGACTACTACTGACTAGGCTCTTACTGAAGTTTTGCTCAAATTTCATGGTAGGAAAAAAAATATTACCTAACCAGAGATATTTTCTTATAGGAAAGCCAACATTTGAGTCACTTCTGATACTGCAGTCTCATAGCATGTCAAATTAAGTCAAGACAAAAAGAGGCAGATGATTAAACTAACGAGATATGCCATATTTTATCAGTTATCTTTCCAGTTGGTTCTAAGGCAAGAGCTTCAAACTAGAAGCAGTACTCATTAAGTCGTTTACATAGTAGGCACTATGAAAAACACAAAGAAAATATGCTCTCAAAGACTATGTAACATCATGAGATTCATTAAATATACACATAAACATTTTCTGTACACAATGCTTTTCTTCATCTAATATGACCAAAAAGATGTTGAAGAGGTTAGAGAAAGATTTTCATCAGACCTGGGCATGGCAGTGCATGCCTGGAATTTCAATACGCAGGAGGTGCAATGCCACCCTGGGCTACATAGAGTTCCAGGCCAGCCTCAAAAACATGGTGAGACCCTGTGCCTCCCTCTCAAAAACAAAAAGCAAAACTTCAAGACCCAAAGGAATATCAAACAGGTCTTTGCTTGTTGTGCCAAAATAGTGAAAGAACATGCTTTGCTTTTCCTCTAGGCCTGGCAATCACCCTTTGGTCTCCTTGCCTCTTACCTTAGCTTATTTTCTGTTCTCTACTCATGTAATAAGATCTATCTTTTGGGGATTTCCTGTTCTGCTTTTAGTTTTTTTCTTCTTTCTGCTATTGCTGGGAGACTGTATCTTTCTCTCCCATGGCAATAAACTTTGTGTTTGCTGGAGAGACCCTGCATAGTTTCTTTTCTGTGCTTCCTTGCTGGAGGTCTGGAAACAATCACAGAGCTGATCTGTAAGTCCTGGGAGTCACTCTGAAACCTTGGAACCTAACCATTCAAAAATAATTACCTTCAGGAAGTCTACTCAGGAAGGTAAAAGACCACCACCCTCTGTGATCCGGGCTCCTTCCATAGCATGGCTATGGGCTCAGCTGTAAATAGGAGTAAGATGAACCTTGAGATTAAATATTTTTTTAAAGCTAAAACGTGGGAAAATGTTAACGAAGGGCACTACTAGCCACAGATGATTACTGGAGATTCAATGACATTCACTGCTGAAATGAAGACCAACTTGACAAAACCTCTATGGGCACACTACAGACACTGTAGTTTCACATGTGGATAGCGTTTACCAGGCCTTTATTTACCCTTATTGCTGAGATTAAAAACTAGCTTTTATTTTAATACTCGAAATTTTGGCAGATGATACTGTAGTAAAAAGCAATCACATCACACACACGCCTTCAACTTGAAAGGTACAAACACACTATAAAAGGGGGCCTGAGTAGTACTCAAAGGACACAAGACCAGATTAATCATAAACCTAGCCAACTGAACCTGAATTTTGTTCAAACACTTCCTGTCTTTTGTTTGAACCTGCAGTATACCTTCAAGGTTAACTGCAGTCTCCCCAGCAACGGACCAGCCCACTCCAAACTAGGAGGGAGATGGAGATCCCTAGTGGAATACTATTTATTTACTCATCGACACCATTTCATTTGAAAACACGCTGTTATTTATTGACTGTCAAACAATACACACTGCATTCTTACCCACACAAGGCCAATTCTGCAAACAAGCCAACACACCCACCTCGCCATGAAATACGGTGATGGCTTTCCATCAAGTTCTCAGGGAAACCGGAGGAAAGCAAAACTGAAAGGAAACGCAAACCTAAAAAGCCCCTCAGCAGCTGGGTTCTCCCACAGGGGAACTGGAGGTTTGAAAAGGAAGGTACAAAGGGTGATTGATGGGAAGGGTAGTTTACGATTTCTACTCCTTTCGGAGTCTAAAAACGTCCTCAACAGGGCAGTTCTCAACTCCCTGCCCGGGAACACAGGATCCAAGGGGCTGCAGGAGCAAAGCTGAACATCAGAAGCTGGGGGATGGGAAGAATTGAGGAGGGGGAAGGCTGCTTCAGCTGTCGGCGGTGTCGGAGTCCAGGCTTTGATTTTTATTATTTATTTAGCTTCGCCCATCCCTCGCTGGGAAAATGCTGGTTTTATCTCATGCAAAACACTGGTTCTGATCCCACCCCAGCGAGGAGGGACAGGTGTCGGGAGGGATGCCTGGATTTGCCGGGGTCCAACATAGGGGTGGGGGCGGAAGCCTAGAGGATGACACCCGGGAGCCCTCCAAAGACGAGGCACTGGGCACGCGGGGCTGCGACAGTAGCCGGGTGAGGAGGGGACCCCTGCTGAGGCTCGGGGGCGGGCGGGGGACAATGAGCAACCGCGAGGACCCCGGGAGGGTGCAGCGGCGCCTCCTCTGGGAATCCCGGGGGCAGGAGGCGGCGGCCCCGCCCCCTTGGGGACCCGCTCGTGGCGGCTCCGACGGCGGCGGGAAGCGACCTGCGTTCCCGGCCCGGCCGCTCTCTCGAGGCCCCGGCCCCCGCCACCCCGGAGCCCGGGTGCTCCCGCTCCCTACCTGGCCGTCGCGCTCCGGGATCCGCTCCCCGCCGCCTCTGCCGCCGGCTCCCCATCCCCAGCCTCCCAGGCCCGCCCCCTCATCCGCCGGGAGCACTGGCAGGAGCCACAGCCAATCGCAGCTTCGCCCTCGCGGCTCTGCCTTCAATCCGCGCTGGCCGGAGGAGGGGCTTCTCCAATGTCATCCAGGCTCCTCCCGGGACCCCAGGATTCCTTTTGTTTGGGGAGAGCCAGGCTGGGATTGAGCTGCCGTCACTTCCGGGAGGAAGCGCCCTCCTCCGGCCCGGGTTCTACAAGTTTCCACCTCCAGGAGCCTAAGCTTGGGAATGATGGGCTTCTAAGGGTCTGATTGCGATTGCATCCAAAATGGGAATAAACGAAGTGAGTTTTAGTGTCTGCTTTAGAATTAGTCGTTGAAAACTTGGTAGCGTGGCTTCTTTTTTCTCCTGCACCGGCCTCTGGGTGTGGTGCTGGAAGCAAGGGCGCAAACATGAAGCATCCGAAGACCATCCTTCTCTTTTCACATTAAGTGTTTAGGAGGGCTCTAGCAGTGGAACCCCAGGAGGAGGAGGGCATTAAGCCCTGCCGACCTGCCTTCTTGGTAGAAGTCAAATAATTACTAACGTGTGTATTATTTTTTCACGCTATGCTTGCCATTCGTGTGTGTGTGTGTGTGTGTGTGTGTGTGTAGGGCTCTTTTATGGCCTTGGTCTCGTTATACACTTGCCAAAAACGTTTGTAACGAAGAGAAACAAAGGACAGTTCGATACAAGGAATGGCTGTCCTTGTGAACACAGGAATGCCGATCTTGGTGATGAAAGCAAGTCCTGAGCAGGCCAAATAACCCAGAGGGAAGAGGACCAGTTTCTGGTACCTTTTCTATAGGCTGCACTTAAGCTTGCAAGTTGAGCTGGCTGAATGTATAACCATGTTAACTTTGTTTTTGTTTTATAACCACGCTTAAATGAAGTATACCAAATACATGTAAGAAAATGAATTATTTATAATGCATAAATAAGATATTACTTTTAGTACGTTATTCCTAATTTTCATATTTCTTAAGCAAAACAGTGTTAAGGACCTTACTCCCTAGGCAAATGCAGTCCTCAAGACGGGCAGTTTCCAGTGGATCGATGCCAGCCTGTGCAATCATGGTTTGGAGGAAGTAAACCAGTATTTATCTTATCACTGTGCTGTGTTCCTTCATATAATACTTATATCAGTGCTGTATGAGAAGCCTGTCTCACCCTGTAAGGAGGATATCATGTGACCAATTTATAGATGAGATTTAGAGAAACCAAGAGAACCCAAGGAAAGTTATAGAGCTAGTAGTTAGTAAAGAAAGCTTCCAACAAGGGTGAGTAACTCCAAACCTGTGCCGTAATCTGCTAACCATGCATTGGTTCTCCAGGACGACCTATCCAGGGGGCCATGAAGGGTTATAAAGGCAACATTAGAACCAGGACAATAATTCCATACTCCCCCCCCCTATCGATTGAGTGTGGGCTTGGAAAGGCCAGGGAGACTGCCTGGAGGTGCGCCACTGCAGCCCAGGTGCTTTTGGAACAGTGGTGTAGGACAGAGAGAACTTCAGAAGGACATCATGCCCTGTGTTTGGAAAGACAATATGGCTGGATGGGGTGACATACACCTGTAATCCCATCATTTGGGTGGTAGAGGCAGGAAAGACAATATGGCTGGATGGGGTGACACACACCTATAATCCCATCATTTGGGAGGTGGAGGCAGGAGGATCAGGAATTCAAGGTCATCCTTAGCTACATAATGAGTTGGGCTACATGAGACCTTGTCTCAAAAAGCAAGAAAGGAAAAGAAAAAAGAAAGGTAAGGTGAAGGGCTGGTCTTTCAGAATAGAACAGAGTGTTTGAAATGGCCAAAGACACAGTATTAGGTACAGGAATAGTACCACAAGCTTGAAAAACATCCCATTTCCTCCTTCTTCATTTCGCTGTGCCTATGGCTACGCAAATGAGGAAGTGCTTCATTGCCAGACAATGAGGCAGATGTGGGACAACAGGCTATTTTTCTGCTGGCTTCTGACTCATGCTAAGATTTGTTCTGTGAATCAGCTCCTCCCTCCACCCTCTCCCTCCCTTTGTAGCTATTAATCTACCACCACCCATTCTGCTTCAAAGCTGACCTAATGGAAGCAGAACCATGTGACCCATATCCTTCACAGCAATGGGTGGCTCTTCTAACTCCCTAGGTTCCTTTCAGTCCATTCCTGAGCCAGGGGAAGGATTCAGAAAGAATGAAATCATCCCTGCCTTGGAAGAGTCATCAGAGTCCCGGGGTGTTTAGATGGCTTTCAGTTTGTCACCCTTGAGGTAATGAGCACTCAGGACTTGTGTGCCTCAGGTAACCTTCAGGCTGCCACAGTGGGAATGAGTTCAGAGTCTTGTGATTCTTCAATATATAAAACATGTAAATAAATTTAGAGTCTGGGTACATAGAAATGGAAAGTAGGCTTATACTATCTTGAATCTGTATAGCACGATACAATATGTTTAGATCTATTGTTTTATCAACTTGTCAACTAATACTTATCAAATGGTTACTATTTTATGAGGCAACAACTTTATAAAGAAATGCTGAAAGATTGCAGTTTAGGTCCTGTTTTCTCCAAATTGATAAACTTTCTTGCTAGGTATTCTTTAAGTGCGTGGGGAGGCAATGATAGAGTAAGAGGTTAGACTGGAAATGAAAAATAAATCAGAGTCTGATTGTAGCTCTGCTATAAGCTGTCCTAATAAATCACCACAAAGTGGGTGGCTTAGAACAACAGAAATGTATTCTTTGTCTAGAGGCTAGAGGTCTATGATCAAGGTGTTGACAGGTTCTGTTCTTCTAGGGGCTCTGAAGATGATCCATTCTATGACTGTCTCCTATTTTGTGGCTCCAGGCAGGCAGTCCTTGGCACTCCTTGGCTCCAGTTGCATCACTGCAGTCTCTGCATCCATCATCATCTGGCTGACTTTCCTTTTGTCTCAGTGTTTCTATATGCCCTCCTCGTTCATAAGTGCACCAGTCATACTGAATTTAAAGACTATTCTAATCTACTGTGACTTTATTTTTTAAGACAAGAGTATTCCTATATAGACCAGGCTGACTTAGAACTCACAAATAGCTGGGTTTATAAACATGCACCACTATGCTCTGCTAATCTTCATCTTAACCCATTATATTTGCAAAGACCCTATTTCCAAATAAGCTCACATCCTGAGGTTCTGGGGGGACATTAATTTTTAGAAGATGCCAACCCAGTATACAAATCTAGTTCACAGAATGATTTCCCCACTTAATTCTAACTTTACTGGTAAATGGCATGAAACAAAAAGACTAATTCCTAAAGATCACTCCAGTCTATAAAACAATTATATATGTTATATTTATTAAAGTATTAAATATGTGACAGGCATCATGAGGGTACTTTATATAAAGCATCTATGTCAAACCCTTGGGAGAATTATAAATATTCTGTTAATAGTCCCATCTTACAGATTTGGAAATTGAGGCACAAAAATCTCCATTAAGAAATCTTGTGATAAATATAGAAGAATCTAAAGTTCACTCTTGTAATTACCATGCTCTGTCTCTCCATTATGCTCAGTGAGTTAGGAAAATGGAGATTAAGCAAATATCTTTAAAATTTGATTTATGGGGCCAGGAGATGGCTCAGCAGGTAAAAGCACCTGCTGCCAAGTCTGATGACCTGAGGTTGATCCCTGGGATCTCACATGGTGGAAAGAGAGAACCAACTCCTAAAGGTTGTCCTCTGACTTCCACATGCAAGCCATGGATGGGCGTGTGGGCACACACAATCAAATAAATGTAATAAAAAATTTAAAAATTGATGTATGGACTACTTGGAGCTGAGTAGTTTTCCCGGAGTTACATGTGTCGTTTGGACTAATTTTTAAAACAAAAGAGGACTAGGGTGTAGCTTACTGATAGAACACTTGCCTAGCATGGACAAGGCCCTGAGTTGGATCTCCAGTGCCACATAAAAACCAAAACAAGGGAAGTAAGAGAGGAGGAAATAGCCAGTGGCGATGAAGGCTTAGAGGCTAAAGATGCACAATTACCTGAACCCTAGTTTCTTCATTTGTAAAATGAAATGGTTGCCTATGCCCAAAACACCAGGTTGTGACTGTCCAGCAAGATGATACACATGAAAATTCCTCGTCAACCCCACAAGGGAATTTGGAAACTACCCGGGATACCTTTCTGAGGCTCTTTCTCCTCGTGTGTCTCAGCTCTCCAACTAAACCTCTAGGGTTCTGTATATTCTGTTTCTTTCTAGCTGTGACCCAGGGCACGGTGCAAAGATGCTAGGTGAACTAGATGAAGCGTGGGAATGGGGACAGTGATGTGTCCCACCCACTCTTATCTCCAATTCTTCAGAGGAAGGAGTCAGAGCTCAGACGCCTCTTTAGCACGAAGCCAGGCCAAAGCCGCAGAGGGGAAGGTGTGATCTCTTTGCTCCCTGCATTTCCCTGGCATTTGTCTACAGGAAGGCCTTTCTGGGCGATTCTTAAGAGCTTTCTCCCTGCTGGGATCTGGTTGGCGGGGTACCTGTGGAGTTCAGAGAGTTTGGGGTGTGGCCCTAACTTCTTTCCCAAGCTTATTCCTCCCTCTAGTGTTGAGCGATGAATCCTGCAGCTGTCTGCTTCTCTCCAGGCTATCTCTCAGTGGTGTGCTGACTGCTTTTCCTTTTATGGGTGTAGGCAGAAAGCCCATCAGGTAGGGGAGTCTAAAGACAGACTATCGCTTCGAAAGGTCAACCTCAGGGACAGATTCTTTGGGTTTTAGTTAAATGAGGGACCGATTTAGTTATGATGGAGCTGTAAAACCCTTATTGTGGATTGCAGTGGAGGTAGGTCCCAGAGGAAAAGGGAAAGAAACCCATCAAGTACCTATTGTGTGTTAGACACTGTGCCAGGGAATTTTCATATAAGCCCTGTGATCTTTACAGATATAATTCTTATAAACACCCTGAGAAGAAGTTATTCTTATTTCTGGCTTTTCAAGAAAAAGAGGAACCAAGTTCAGAGAGGCTGTCTGACTCGAGGCCACATGATAAAAATAATGTCAATGCCATAGACCATTTAT